CACGCCGGCGCGGCTACTCGTCTGCCAGAGCCACGGCTTGGGCCAAGCCTGTGCCTTGGCCGCTTCCTGGGCGTGCAAGAAGCCGATGGCGGGCCGAGGCGCTGCCCGCTGTGAGGGGTGGCCAGCTGCCCCTCGCCCCGCCACGGGGACGCCTGTAGTCCTCTCCGAGGGATGACCGGGCCCGGCGGGGCCTGACTGCCCAGGCCATTCCCCTCAGCCCCAGCTGCCCCTGCCTGGCACTGAGTGGCGCGTGGGCCTGTTCTGGCCTCCCGGCGGCCTTGGCTGGCGCCGACGGCCACTTCCCTCCAGGGGTGGGGTACCTTCTCTGGAGACCGCCTGGCAACAGCTTCTGACAGGTGCCTCCCCCTCCTCGCCCTCCAGCTGGACCCCCACTTTGTGTGGAAGTCTAAGAGGCTTTCTCTGTGCTCTGTTGGGGCGTTGCTTTGTTTCTCTCTTTTCTGCATGTGACTGAAGATCCAGTGTTTGTCTGTCTCCCTCCGATTTAGCAAAGTTGATTAACCTAATCCCCTCCAGTTGCATCCACCACATCCCAGAGGCAAGACCTCAGCTTTTTTGCAGGAGTGGTAGCCCCTTGGGTATCGAGAACTCAGCTTCACCATCCGCCAGTGGCATTTTGGGGGTTCCCCGGTCTTGGCTCTTGTGGATAAAGCTGAGGTGAATACAGAGGGGCATGAATCTTTTTGAATTCGTGTTTTCATGGTCTTGGGTTGTATTTAAAAAAGAAAAGATTTTTTATTATTTATTTTTGCATAGAAGAGCTGGGGTACAGGCCAGGGGTGCAGGAGTGAGAGGATTTACCAGAGACTGAGTGGGAGCACAACAGGCAGATCTACGGAAACCCAGCAGCGGGGTGACGAGAGATGTCTGCTGCGGCCTGTGGGTCACTCCCTGGTCGGGCATCGAACTCAGGCCGCAGTGGGTAGCGCTGACTCGCCCCTAGGCCACCGGGGAGGCCCTGGTGGTGGATTTTAATCTTTTGAGACTCTCCAACTGTTTCCCATAGAGATTGGCCCGTTTCCCTTCCCACCAGCGGGCCACTGGCCTCCTGACTCTGCTCGGCGTGTTTCCTTCTGGGCTGGCTCCCCAAGAGCTTCCAGATCACAGTACTGAGAATCCTGCAGCTTCCTGCAGCTGCAGAGAGTCAACAATAGGCATTAAAGTCAGTGACAGCCTCTTTCCTCCGCTTCCTGCGGGAGGGAGCTGGGGGCTCAAGGGTGTGCCCCCAGTTCAGCCAGCACCTGAGAGACCAGCCAGGCTGTCTCCGCGGCCAAGGTGGGACGGAGCTGAGAGGCGTCGGAGCCGAGCCCTGGGCCCCGGCGGCAGGAGTCTGCTGGGGGCGCCAGCGTGGGCCTCCGAGGGGCCGGCGGGCGGCCCTGGCCCACTTGCTCACGTCCAGCGCTTTCTCCTCGCGGGACCCTCAGCATGCCGAATGGTGCTTAGGGCCGCGCCGGGGGCTCCGTGGACCTCACAGGCGCCCCGAGGCCAGCAGACGCGCGTCCTGCTGTGGACCTGGCGGCGCCGGTGTCC